ACCCCTCCTAAGCAGCCCCCACATCCATAGTCGCCCCACACATACCCACACACTGTCCCACATCCCTCCACACCCATTTCAGAATAGTTGCAAAACATACACAGATTCAGAAAAAAATTAAATTAGCACCATAGCATACATGCAGCACAATATGCAAAAAGAGGTAAGGCAACATAGTTCTTAACATTTATGCACTGAGAATAACATTATGTATATTCACTTAAATGCAGATGTCATAACATATACACAATCCATTTATAAAAACAACTTTAAGTAAGACTGCAGCATGTTATTCCAGTTATAGTATCTTGTTTGCATGTCAGGGAAGTAAAATTGTTGGTGTACCATAAGAAATCTGATTTAATTGACTCTTTCATTGTGCTTCTGTATTCTAAAAATACATTGAGTTGAGGTTCCTACATTAATGTATTGCATTTTCTCACATACAACATGCATCTTTTACCCCATAATTAGTCCGCAGAATTGGGGTGTGTTTTAAATGGAGAGGCTGTTTTCTTTGCTGGAAAAGCAGCATGCTTATAGTTTCATAGTTATAGTTTCATAGTTTCTAGGGTCGGAAGGGACCTGAGTAGATCATCTAGTCCGACCCCCCGCCATGGCAGGAAAGATTACTGGGGTCAAACAACCCCAGCAAGGTGTTCATCTAACCTCCTCTTAAAGACCTCCCCTTAAAGCTTGGAGAAACTGTGCATGCCATGCAGGTGCCAAAATGGCTTCTGCTTGTGTCTGCTCAGCAGACTGAAGGGGTGAAGTCCTGGATTAAATTTCTCACAGCCATAGCTATTATCTGATCATTATAGCTCAGGAATGGGCAATTATTTAGACTGGAGGGCCACTTAACAAGCTTTGGCGAGCTCTTGAAGGCTGCGTGGGTAGCCCCACCCCTTAACAGTTGCCCTGCCCTGTGGTCACCATGTTGGGACTGGAAGTCCCATCCCCTGACCCCTGACATTTGCCACCCAAAATCCCTACCCTTGCCCCACCCCCCGTACTCCTTTTAGGAGCAGGAGGGGGTTGCCATCTTAGGACCAGAAAAAAACCAAATCGTATACTAAAAGTCAAAAACCTGCTATAACACATCTTAAGTTTTGTTACAAAGAATATTCATCATGGTTTGTTTTTGTGTACTGCACATAAAAGGGACTGCATAATAACTCAAAAATAAAGTCTTACTCTTTTATATTGTGTGTGTATGGTGAGGGGTGGATGGGGGTGGGGGGTGTATGGTGGGGTGAGTTCATGTATGCTCGGGTGAGTGGGTGTGGGTGTGTGTGTGGTAGGGTGAGTGGGGGGGTGTAGTAGGGAGGTGGTAAGTGTGTGTATGGTGGGGTGTGGGGGATTTGTGAGGGGGTGTAGCTGTGTGTGGGGGCATAGATTTCATAGACATTAGGGCTGGAAGAGACCTCAG